CCTGCTGGAGGTAGAGGTTCGTACGGGACGCTTTTTATTTAATAATGTGTAATTATTCTGTGGACAAACAGTGTGTGTGTGGTTATATTTTTTCTATTGACTATTATCAAAATCACTACTTCTAGAACAGAAATAATAATAATATTAATAATAATAATAATAATAATAATAATAATTATTATTATTATTATAAAACAATTAGGTTTCCAAAAGTAGTAATAAACTACGAATTCAAGTCAAGTTTTCAGTCATCTTATAAAAAGTGAGCCATCCTACTTTTAAAATCACTTGCTATGACAACTAATAAAAAGTTAATTATCACAAAATTCTTGCACAACTTAAAAAAAAAAACATTATTGAAAGAAGATTTGGACGTTTCATATCATAATAAAATAAGTTATTACACGATTATGGTCTCCGGTCTGAAAAACCTGCATGTGATTTGGCATTTCTTTATATTTACACAGTTTACTAAAGCTGCTCAAATGTGCCATTAATGTACTGACACAAAAATATAAAGTGTATTCTATTAATTCTCACAGAAGCAAAGCAGTAGATGTTATAAATAAAAACAGTTAACAATGTTATTGAATAGAATATATTAAAACCGTTATTGCACGACATAGGCCTATTCTTATAGGCTACACAGACAAAACAGTCGGAGATACGCTTTCTATGTTACGCATTAGTAGTAAATCAAGACTTTGCAACTTCTCTTGTAAAATAAAATAATAAAAAAAAACAACATGGAAAAAATGTATACAGAAAGCGAGTAAAGAACTCTCAACATTAGGCTACTAAAAAGGTCAGTTTAATCTCACAAAAACTCCCGTTAATAAAAAATCTGACTACACTGCATTAATCTCTTACACTGCATCTTTGTTGTTTATGATGAATTCAGTGTTTTCACGAACACTGCTTTTATTATTATTATTGCAGCTTTGATGTTCAAATAGCTGCAGTCAGGGCCTAAAATTAACACTTGCCAAGCGCCAAATGCGAGTAAAAATCAGCGTTGGCGAGTATATGTAACCGTGTCAGTCGCCAGTTGGCGGGTACAACTTTTACGAATTATAACAATGCAATGAAGTGAAAACAACAGCCAGTTTTAAAAGAGATTCACTGTCTCTGACATAAGCGAAAAAAATAATATTTTCTGACGACAAGATTATCGTGATTAGCTGTTTTGTTATAAGCGACAAGAGCGACTCAAATAATAGAATACAAACGGGCTGATAAGGTCAGAGCAGTGATGGCCAGCTTGCCCCTAGACACGGTTCTAATAACTTTTACCTGAGAAGATATTGCTGCTTCATTTCGGAAGATTAACTTTTCCCTTCTTTATTCTTCATAACCCGAGAATGCGGCGACACATACCTGAGGTTACGCCGCCTAAACGATGCAGTGAAGTATAGTTTGAAAGGCTCCGTTTCAGACAGCTCACCAATAGCGCTTCACCGCACGAAAACACACAATTATGTCAAAATGTGCGGTTTTGGTGAGTTACTTTGTAAACGTAGTTTTAGTTATAAAGTCTTAAATGACCGTAAAGAGTTGTGAGAAAATCGGATGCGTGTCAGATCCGCGTCATATGCATCAGGTTTTAAAGAGACAGCGCTGATTTTAAAGTGAAACCTGCTGAAGTCTGTCACTGATGTAAATCAAAGAACAAAAGAAAAAGAGGAATCCTTAAACTGTTCTAGTCGCTGATTAACTTTTGTAGCGTGAATAAAGATTAATATGTATAGTTTATGCTTATACAATATAGTTTATGTAAAGATTGTTTTAAAATCACTTAAATTAAAAGTTGTTATATATTTCAGAGCCCATTAAATGTTAAAAATAATGGCTTTCAATACTGTAATGTTGAATGGCTATAATTAATAGGTAATACTGAGGGAAAATGCACCAGCAGGACAAATTAAAAACAGTGTAAATATGTTTAGTTGTAGTAGTAATAACTGCCTGTTTTTACAAAAAGAGTTTCATGGCCGGTAAAAAAAATTTTTGGCTGGTAAATTTGATCATGTCACCGGCCGTTTGACAGGTGTAGCAAAAAGTTAGTTTCAGGCCCTGGCTGCAGTACTCCGACTTTGCCACAAGGAGAAGTGCGTACGCCTGCTCAGACCCTGACGTGACGGTAAGTACTTTTCCACGTCTTTATAAATATGAACGTTGCCGTGGGTTTTAGCATGTGCACACTCTAAGATCAAATCTGTGCGTACGGACATTTTATAAATGAGGCCCCAGGTCCGGTCGGACAACATGACAGTGGTGGCTTACATCAATCACCAAGGTGGTCTCAGGTCACGTCCCCTTTACAGGATGGCTCGACACCTTTGTTTTTGAGCACAGAAATGGTGGTTCATGTGCCAGGCAGTCTGATCCTTGGCGCGGATATGCTGTCCAGAGGCAATGTAGCTCCAGGGGAATGGACCCTACATCCTCAAACGGTTCTGAAAACCTGGTCTGTTTTCAGGAAAGCAGAGGTTGACCTCTTCGCCTCAGAAGACAACTCTCACTGCCAAACTTATTTCTCAATAAAGCGAGATGCTCTGGCGCACGATTGGCCCAGTGCTCGCCTATACACCTCCCCCCCGATCGCCCTGATTCCTCAGGTCATCAGACGGGTCAGGGAGGGCAAGTGCTCAGTCCTTCTGGAGGCCCCGCTCTGGAGGAACCAGGCCTGGTTACCAGAGTTAGTGCAGCTCTCAGCAGCAGCTCCATGGCCGATCCCGCTGAGGAAGGACCTTCTCTTGCAGGCGAAATGCAAGATTTGGCATCCCCGGCCAGAGCTGTGGAGCCTTCATGTATGGAGCCTCAACGGGAGCTTAGCCAGCTCCCAGCAAGAGTGAGTAATACCATTTTAGAGGCTAGTTTAGATTTACTGTATTAAAAATACAGGCCCCACAGCAGCAATCAAATCTTTCATTTTTTTCAGTACTTTGCATGTTCGTCTTTATGTTTGCTGAGAGACTCAATGTTCTGTGGCATCGAGCCGTTAAACAAAACATGCACACAAGATACAAAGCATTATTCGCACAGTAACTCTACACACAAACCTTGAATTATTGTAACAACTTTCAAACAATCTGTATTGTATAAAGCGTTATCATTTATTTCTTCCTCAAAACAGTGTTTTGATTTGTGAACATGATTTCGAAATGTTTTCCCCCATGAACACTGTGTAGGTAATCAATACACAAGTGTGCCATTTAAAATTCAGTTTTTCCCAAATGAAACCAGGGCAGATGGTTTTGAATGTGTCTAGAAAAGTTTCTTTTTCAATTGCAAACTGAGTGTAAAGCAGACAATGTGCTTGTAGTTTAGCAGACTTGGTCTGAATATTCTGTATATGAGTGAATGATTTCACTGAGCGAGGCTCAACTACAACTTTTAGTTTGTAAGCAATTAAAAAAAAACAAAAAAGCTTTTCCTTTGGATTCATGTCAGGTTCATGACTGGTGTTCATCTTCATTCACTGTGAACCACACACGTATTAGATCTCAGGTTCACTTTTTAGTGTCAGTGATCACAGTTATATTCACTGCTGATGCCCGAGTTCCTGCTTTAGGGCCTGTGTTTGTTTCATTGTTCGTGAGAGCAAACACGTCTCAACCTAATGCAGTTATTGGGATCATCTGAAACTGAAGTGATAAGGATCCGTGGTGTGGTGTATTTCCATGGGATGTGCCATATTTTCCAGTTTAATTTCAACCTGGAGCCAGAAGATCAACCCTCGTTAAAATCTAAAGATAGAAAAACTCCAGCAAAGGAGACAGCGTTTAGTTCTTGTTTCATTTTTATTATTTTATTTATTTTTTTACAAATAACTTATCTATTACAAAGACAGTTTTCCCAGCTAAGATCAAAAACAATGATTTACTCCCTCTTTTCTTTTAAAACCCACAAACACATGACAGACAGATCTGATTATTTCTTTGGTTTTCTCAAAAGTTAGCACAGAGACTAATGTCTTTGGAGCCAAAAATAGCCTCATCTCGGAAACAGAGAGCAGAGCGAATAAACGTTCTCCACAGCCAAGTTATTTTTAGCCTGGATACCAGAAACCAGCATTTGGAAATTGTATTTATTGGTTTTATAAATAATCTCATTCAGCTTTTCAATGCACAATTTATGCATTAGCACTCTCATAAGGATGGATGACAAAACATTTGTTTTAGTTCAATCAACTAATAAAGTCACAAAACGGCAACTTTATTACAGTTTAATAATAATAAAGATTAAATTCTGTAACATCTGTAAGTTAAGGCACTGTGCATATTGCCACATACCATGATCCGTAACAGAGACCCACATAAAGACCGAAGGCACATGGTGAAATATGTCGCTGCACTCAGAGACACGACTCCTGCGCTTTGGCAATTTACAAATCCTGAAGCATAGAAGGCAGCGGCGAGCACTCGGTGTGTTAAAGCCCTTTGTGAACACTCGCCCGCTGTTCGGAGGACACACGCACACAAGTCTTTCCTCTCAGACCCACATTACTGCCAATAACGGGAGAGAGCTCCATCAATGCATAGCAGAGAAACACCCCTTTCATGGCACAAAGGTATCAGTTCCTCTCATAGTAAACCTAGATTCCAGTTGTCACACAGGAAAGTGTTTATCTTGGGCTTTATGGACTTCCTGTGAACTGCTCCGAGGTCAAGTACCTTATTATTAATAAAATCTAGATCTTTTTCAGTTCAGTTTTGCTGCGTCTGCAGCTCGTACGCTGAATAGAGTGCTTGACAGAGCATTGTTTGATGCACGCTGTTTCAGCATCCCTTTAGCATCTCACAAAAGCTCCATACTCATCTGAGAGAAACAAACGAAACAACAACACAGAGAAATAAATGACATCTATAAAGCTATACTTACAGGAAATACATGTGAATTCTTGAGAAAGAAAAGCTCGTTCTAAAACTATGTACAGTAAAATCTGTGGCGGAGACTCCTCTGTAAACTGTACATCTAAAACATGCAGGGTTTTTTTGTTTTCTTTTCTTTTTTTGCATTTCACTGATCAAACAAAAGAACTGTGAGTCGAGCAGATTCCGCCCATGATCCTTTGGGAACAGCACTGATAAAGCAGTCACGATCAGTTCCCATGAAAAAGGCACACTGGCATCCAAAGCCACATCTGTAAACCGCGTGTGGATGAAATAAACGTGTCAATATCACCGGCAACACGAGCCTCTTCACGGATCAAGCGGGGAAATTTCCCTTGATCTCCCACATGACACACACACGCACACTGTACAGAGAGAAAGAGCTGTAAACATCATCCAGTCTTCAGTGGACATCACAAGACGAACACACACACACACACACACAGTGGGCCGAGAGGGCAGGCGTGGCTCAGAAATGCCGGGGGAATTCACACTCTTCACAGCGGTTGAGGGCAGGGTGGTTGAGGAAGGTGCAGGCAGTGCAGCTCCACTGAACACCGTCGTCCTCCTCGGGCTCCGACACGAGCCTGGCGCTCCGGCTGCCCTCTGAAACACACACACACACACGAGAGAGAGAGAGAGGCGGTCAGAGCGCAGCCGGGGGACACAGAGAGAGGGAGGAGTGCAGAGACCCACCGGCGGGAGGCACAGGAGGGAGAGACGGGTCTCTCTTCAGCTTGGAGCTGACGCTGATCCTGCGCCCTCTCCTGTCCAGATCCACTCCTGACCAGCGCAAGAACAACAAGAACAAGAAGAAGGACAGAGCAAGAAACTCACCATCACAACCTAATGCAGAGGTACTAGTCAAATAACTAGGACCCTATGAATTCAGTCTTTTTTTTTTTTTTCAAATTCTATTTTTTGCATTTTCATTTTTTTGGACTCCTTTTTAATGATTAAATTAAATTATATTAATCAAAAAGTATGTCTAAGCAATTAAAATCATGAAACATACAAGTTCATATCAATATATTAAAAGTTTTACAAAAACTACGTTTACAAGACAAATTTCTTGACATTCAGCGTTAAACTCTTAATTCTGCTTTTTTCCACATCGCAGAAATCATAGGGCCCTAAATAACGCTGTTTCATGATAAAAGCAGAAGTTTTTAGGGACAGAAAATGAAATGGAAAAGAGGAAGCAAAAATGTGCCAAGATCGCATCGAAAGATTAAAACTGACCTGGCTTCGTAGGACCTTTGGGAGGTTTAGGAGGTACAGGACCCAAGAATCCAAGGTTGTCATAAAAATTGTGAATTGCAATGGGATTGAAGTCTGGTCCTAAAAGTCAGAAGAACCAGCGGTCAAAACATTTGCAGGGAGCACAAGATGAGCTGTTAGCATTTTAACAGCAAGCAAGTCACAAATGTGTGGGAAAGAAAGGGCACTTCATAATTAATAACTGATAAATACTGGTGAGTGGAGTGCATGCCAGCGTTTCCTCACACAGCAGAGATCTGATTCACACACACACACTCACACTAACACACACACACACACACACACTCTCACACTCACACACTCACTCACTCTCACACTAACACACTCTCTCACACACTCTCACACTCACTCACTCTCACACACTCACTCACACACTCTCACACTCACTCACTCTCACACTCACTCACTCACACACTCACTCACTCACACTCACAACACACACACACACACTCTCACTCTCACACACACACACACTCTCACTCTCACATACACACTCTCTCACACACACACACACTCACTCTCTCACACACACACACACTCTCACTCTCACATACACACACACTCTCACTCTCACATACACACACACTCTCACTCTCACATACACACACACTCTCACTCTCACATACACACACACTCTCACTCTCACATACACACACACTCTCACTCTCACATACACACACACTCTCACTCTCACATACACACACACTCTCACTCTCACATACACACACACTCTCACTCTCACATACACACACACTCTCACTCTCACATACACACACACTCTCACTCTCACATACACACACACTCTCACTCTCACATACACACACACTCTCACTCTCACATACACACACACTCTCACTCTCACATACACACACACTCTCACTCTCACATACACACACACTCTCACTCTCACATACACACACACTCTCACTCTCACATACACACACACTCTCACTCTCACATACACACACACTCTCACTCTCACATACACACACACTCTCACTCTCACATACACACTCACTCTCACACACACACACACACTCACTCTCACACACACATACACTCTCACACAGACACTCACTCTCACTCTCACACACATACACTCTCACACAGACACACACACTCACTCTCACACAAACTCATATGAACGGCTTCATTTTAATGAGTCAGTCACAAAGATTCACTCAGGAGTCAGAAGTTTGAATCAGACTCTTTGTTCAGATTTGTGAGGCTGACAAACAACAGCATCACTGAATATGAAGTCACTTCCGGTTAGGTCCAATTAATTTATTTGGTCCAGTTTATGAGACTTGCATTACTCTGATTACAGAATGGCTCTATGAGTAGTGTAACTATTTCAATTACTTTATTAATGTAACTGAATACATTTGATTACTTGTCTACATTTCTAATGTTTTCAACTGTTAATCATTTTCAAGCATGTAAAGCAGGCAGGGTTAACATTACAGTAGAACTCAACACTGATTACTGTCAGACTTTCACAATCCTTCATCACCTGAATTAAGAATTCATTTAAAGCACAGCCCCCAAAATATCAGACTTTAGCGCCTCTTTTTACTTTGAGATCATTCTGAGGTTAAATACAGATTTAAAATCATAAATTATAGTTTAATAGTTATGATAGTCAAATCATTGCATAGGAAACACTGGCATCTAACAATGACTTGTTAGATGCCAAAATAAAGCATTCGCATAAACCTAAATAGGAGATAAAACGGTTATTGAATAAGTATGTGTCCTATTCTGTATCTCAAACTCCTGAAACATTGGTGTCTCATATTTTAGAGCAGTTAATGCAATTTATGAAAGTCGTCAATTAAATCTGTTTGTGTGTGATAACATTCAGATGTAATCCCCTTTGTAATCATCAATATTTTCATAAGTATCTGTAAAATTACAAATTTTTTCTCGATAACTGTAACATTACAGTTACATTTATTTTGTAATTAAATTACATAATTCCATTACATGTAACTACTTACTCCCCACACTGATAATATTTGACATGAAAAAAAAATCAAATAAATTATGTTACATATAGTAAAAAACCCGAAAAAAACTAAACAAAACATGAATTTATATAACTGAAACCATTAGTCTATATAGTAAAACATGGCTTCCTCACAGTGCTGTTAAAGACTCGCGAGGCGACTGCACTCAAACTAAACTACTCTGACCTTCCTGTCATTCTGTCATTTATCCACTAAGCATCATTTGCCGTCTGTTTTAACTTTGGAACACTTTTGGCAGCCCATCTGTTTGACCTGTAATGCCACACCCACTTTCCTTTCACATTTGTCCTGAACAGCTGCCGCAAAAGAAAGCGAAACACAAGCTGCTGTGAAAACCCAGAGAAAGCGAGTGTAAGCTCTCTATAGACTCACCTCGTGTCTGAAGGAGGTCAATCTCTTTCGTTAAACAATCAATATCGATCTGTAGAAGTCTATTCTTACACCTCAATTGCTGCATCTCCTCAATCTGAAAATAAATTTAGATGAACATGTCAAGTGTGCAAAAGTGAATTGCGTTGTTCTATATTTAAAGCTTTGTTACTTTGCATCACGTCCATCATAAAAATCAGATATACAGACCAGATATACTCCCTAAATGCATCTGACTCAAGTGTGCTCAAGATTACTGACATCTAGAAAAAAGCATGTTCCGAGGCAACTTACATAGATTATTTAAGCATATCGAGAAGAGAAAAAAAAATCACAAATTGCACCAATTTCATAAAGAATCATACTCAAACTGTTGTCAGAGCATATCTGACCCTGCAGCACGACAGCAGTGTTAAGTCGCTGGGGTATATTTGTAGCAATAGTCAACAATACAATGTATGGGTCAAAATTATACATTTTTCTTTTATGCCAAAAATCATTAGGATATTAAGTAAAGATCATGTTCCATGAAGATATTTTGTAAATTTCCTACCGTAAATATATCAAAACTTAATGTTTGATTAGTAATATGCATTGCTAAGAACTTCATTTGAACAACTTTAAAGATGATTTTCTCAATATTTAGATTTTTTTGCACCCTCAGATTCCAGATTTTCAAATATTGTCCTAAAAAACCATACATCAATGGAAAGCTCATTTATTCAGCTTTCATATGATGTATACATCTCAATTTAAAAAAACTGACCCTTATGACTGGTTTTGTGCTCCAGGGTCACAAATATGCCCTAATCTAGAGGAGATGTTTTCCTAAAAGCATTAACGTACAGATGGTATCTGACAGGCTGAGTTGGAGCGCTGCATTCGTCTCCGTGTGAGGTCATTCTCCATCTCGTTGACTTCTTCTTTCAGCTTCTCCAGCTTTCTCTTCTTCTGCTCCAGTTCATGCCACAGTCGCTCCATGCGTGCTCTCTGATGCACCAGCAAAGCTGCAAGTTCACACGCACCATCGTCAGAAACTAATCACACAAAAACAATACTGCAGAACATCTGATCAACTAGCATTTAGCATCACGTGAGCATTTAGTCGTCTGAGACTCAATATATACTGCATTCCAAACGGCATAAATGATGCACTCATATTTGGTAAGCAAATGATGCAATGCAAATGTATTTAGGTGCTAAATAATTACACAGGAAATATTAAACATGTTTGTATTTCAGCAGCACTACTGACATTAGCGAGTATGTAATCATAACAGAAAATAAATTTGTTTTAGTTTTTTACTAGCATGCAACTATTATTACATGGGGTAATTACAAGTGGTGTCAAAATTAGCGCGTTAACGCAGGCGATTAATTTTTTCAGTTTAACGCGTTAAAAATATGTATCGCAAATAACGCAGGGGCGGGGCTAGGATTGGCCACCCCAATCACAACTGCTGCTTCTGTCACTTTTTCTCTTGACAAGAAGTGCATTTATTCAGTCGCATTATTAATCGATTGACAGCACTAGTTATTACATTAACTATTTTTACAGGAGGTAAAATACGCTGTAAAATTCACATGCAGTCCAGAAATCGAGAAACTACTGAGATGGTCTAGAAGATGGTCTGGTAATTATTGCATTACCCCACCTCCCTATAACACTAATCTCATCAGAATTGGACTGTACACACGTTCACAAACATGTCCAAATACATATAAAACACACACACGCACCATTAACAGCTTTAACAGTGTGTAATGATCTAGTGATGCCAGAACATATACAAGCATTGAGGGGTCTTTAAAGTAGTAAACACAGAGTTTCTCTGCTCACGCATAAACTTGGTTATTCAAGAGACCAATATGAAAACTGGAAGCTTAAAAAAAATAATCTCTAATCTTTTTGTATTCTATCTATTTGTTTTCTTTTTATTTATTATACAATTAACAAAAGCAAAAAAGGCCCCTAAGGGTGCTTTCACACCTGGCCCGTTGTTTGGGAACCTGGCGCGTTCCCCCCCTTAGCTGGGTTCGTTTGGGCATATGTGAACACGGCAATCGTGCTCGGATCTGCGCCAAAACAATCGGTCTGAGATCGCCTGAACGAGGTGGTCTCGGCTC